AAATAAATTTATTGATAACAGCCCGAAATGCCAGCGTTGCGACGATATATGTGTATTATTATGATTGAGCTCAATTGTCCAATTGCCAGGTCATTGAATGCCATATGTACAGCCGGGCTCGCCCGTTATTAGCAAACCGTCGATGATATTCTCAACCTCGGCGGCCGCGTTTCCACGCCGCGGTCCCCGTGGCCGCGATCACACGCTCAAATGAGAGCCTCTGGCAATCTTTTGTCTATTAAATGTATTCAACAGGGTAATAGCGGCTGATATTACCAATTGGACAATGAAAGAGATGGCAGCGGAGCGCGATTTGCCCAGGGGGGAACGCGTACACGCCGTGCCACCAAGATTTCGTCAGGAGGCGACGATCTTGCGATCGAACGCGCCAAAATTCTTACCAAAATAAATATCAAACCCCGAATTACATCGATTTCGGCGAAACTTTTCATACAATCGACTGATAATCGTTATTTTTTGGGTTCTGAAATGATTTCTCGCGAGTTCATACTCGATAATTCTAGAATTTGCTTTCCTTATCACTAGACTGCGGATCTTCATGCAAATTCACATTTTTAAATATAATAATTCGTATCTTACTTTAAGTATTTCTTATATTTTTGCACATTAAATAAATTCTGTAGTTTTTTGAGGATTAAAATTTCCCATAAATTCATAAACATACGCAGTCTACTTATCACAAAACATACATAAACGACATTGAGAGAGTTCGATACAAATTTCTTCGTATTGTTGCTAGAAATATTGGGAGTCCCCATGCCTCTTGAGTCTCATAATTATGACGACTTACTTATCAATACTAATCTCCAAACACTGCGTAGTAGAAGAATTGCAGATATCATGTTTCTAAGTAAGCTAATCAAAAGTCATATTTTGTGTTCAACAATTACTCAATTGTTTCCTTTGTATGTGCCATATCTAGTTATTTGAGAAATCACTTTCTATTTTACTCTGAAAGTTACAATCATTAGAAAGTCTAAAATTATCATTGCAACATATTGTAAAATAATTTGTTTTGTTACATTCACTAAACGATAATGTTTTTGACTATATAAATCCACATCTGTAGTTCCTTGCATATTACATCTTTGTACTAAAGGGTTTAATACCAGTTAATAAATAAATAACAAATAATAAATAAACGCTTTGAAAAGATTTTCAAGTATGAAACTGAAATAATCATTCTCAAATTTTGAATAAGATTTAGGAATTTTAGTGAGGTTACGAGAATGAAAGAACAAGTTTTAACGAATATAGTGAGACAATCGATAATTAGTCGATAACTAGGAATTAGGAATCGTGTGCCACGAACTCGCGAAATTCTGCAGTCATGATCAGAAAGACTAACGAACGATACGAAAGAGAGAGAAAAGAGTGTGAATTCCACCCATTATTATCTTGTATTCCTTTAACTTATAATAAACTAACTTCTAATCTCGTAACAATAGTTTACGGGATTGTCTGAAGTAAAAATTGTGGCAGTCAACGAATAAAAATTGATCGAAGATTGTCTGGGGGATAAAATGTTGGGGATTTGCACGGTTAGTAAACACGTGGAGTCCGTGATTTATGCCATTTAGGGATTATAAGACGGCCGGGTAGTTTATATGGCGGCCCGTTCCGAGGACAATGGCTGGTTTCTGCTGTTTGTACACTTTGGCTAGAACAGCACGTGTGCAATTGCCGGAAATTCCAAACGGAACGCCGCGCAGGCATCCAGCGGAATACCGTTTAGAGAAAGCGTTTAATACGGGGCCCGAATCTGTTCGCCAGATGTTTGCCCAACGTTTTCCATCGGTTCGTCTCGTAAAGTTCGACTTTGACCGTCTTCCTGGAAAACCCGTATTCCCCATTGTCCGTGGAAACCTTAATGGAATTGTTAATGGCGGATGGAAGCTAACGCAACGCGTTCGTCCTTCGACAGCTCGATGGAATCGTTAGCCTCCCAATCGATTTACAATATCGTATCTTTCGATGCCACGCTTTTACACAATGGTGAAATCAACCGAACCAATCGACAAATATTTCGATCGATTTCACCGAAAAACGGTGACATTAAACAGTCGATAAAAGGCAACGTGTAAGACGCAGACAAATTAATTTGTATTTCGCGAGATAAGCAATTTCGTTCCTAATTGCGAGGTAAACAATTCTGCGTAAAATTTTTTGATTTCGCATCGATCACGATATCGTTTCGATGTTTCGGAGGAAAGGCGAGAGATTAGATAGCCGGATGTTGAACTTCAACGAGGGATTTCCAGTTTTGATTCGAGACCCATCGATCGATACCAAATCGAATTTATTTATGACTAATCGCTATGACTAACGACCCACGTTCGGGAAACGATGTTGAAATAATAACGGAACGATTTTTATGCATTTGTGTTCTCTCGTTTCGAAGTATTTCCTATAAAGGGGCACGATTTTTCTCTGGAGGCGACACATCTCATAAATGGGATTTCTCATCGGGCCTCCCCAAAAGGCAGCTCTTTTATTTCTGTCTGGCCTCTATCCTTCGGCTTTGTACGAGTTTTAAAAATACTCGATTCGCTCACGAATCGTCTGTCTAACGATTAGAGGCGCGTTGGACACTTCTGAGAATCGAGAAATCTTCTCAGTCCACGATCATTGATCAAATGGAAGCTCAACCCCTAAATATAATAACTCGTACCTCAAAGTATCATATTTTTGCATATCAAGTGCATTCTCTAATTTTTTGAGAATTAAAATTTCCTATAAATGCGTAAAAATTCGCAGTCTATTAATCAGTAATCGTGAATAATTGAATATAATAATAGAGAAAGACAATAATTTAAAGGATTACAGTGCTGTTGAGAGAGTTGAAATAATCTTCTCATTAGAGGCAGAAAATCCTCTTTTTTAGAGTTTTAGTGAGACTGAATGGGCAAGGAAACCGCAGGGGTTGGCAATTATCCTCGAGCGTTTCTTTTAACGACACGTTTCTGTCCAGCTCGTTTCTCCGTCGACAGAGACTTTCCGATTGTCGGGACGCGGTGAAAGACAACGAGAACTCGTTTCGCGTAAGTGTCCTCCCAGCTACGTGGCGGAATTTCGAGAAATCTACGCCTTAAAATGCCAACGATCGGACCCCCATAACAACCCCCCGCTCCCCCCCGTTTCTTTGCTCACCTACGAATCTTGGCTTTTTTCCAATCACGTAATTTACAGCCGGAGCCAACGTCGAAACCTCGATTAGGCACCCAAGAGGACACTCCACAATTCTAACCCCCCCTCCCCCCCCGAGAAAACAGGTTTCTATTTTCTGTTCAATCATTTTCATATCCACTCTTTTCGTCTGCTGAACTTGCAGTTGTTAATTTGAATCAAAGTTTTGATCAGTTTTATTTATGCATTTATGAGAAATTTAAATCTTCAGAAAACTATAGAATCCACTTGATATGCAAAAATATAAGATTTATTGTGTTTAGGGGTTGAAACAACCCTCTATGAAGTTCCCATTTGATTAATTTTATTAATAAAAATATGAATTTGTTCCTGTTCAGTTCACCAAATAAAAAATGGCGTCAAGCATTCCCATTTAATTAATTCTATTAATAAAAATATGAATTTGCATCTGTTCCAGCGTTCCTGTCCAGTTCACCAAATAAAAAATGGCGTCAAGAGGAGATACACTGAAGAATTTCACCCTTGGTCGCTCGACTACGGAAGTTTCCTTTTCTCGAGCAAGTTCACCATGTCGGTGAGTGCAGAAATTAAAAATTAAAAATACTTTCGCGAGTGTAACGACAGGATTCCTCGCGATCGAGTCATTGTTTATCGCTCTCGAATCTTCCCAAGCTTTTCCCGCCCCTTCGAGTCGTATTTTTCTCCACGTTCCATCCATTCCTTGCTCGTAACTTTCGCGATGCCTTCGACTTTTTGCCCACGAAAATATCCCACGCGAACGTCTATCCCCGTCTCCGTCGTTTCCCTTCCGTTTCCTTGAACTTCGCGCGCCATTTTCTCGCCCGCGAACGACGGGAATCTCGAAAAATTTAGCACCGGGAGAACGGACGAGGAAGACACGAAAGTTAAGTTAAAAAAAGGCCCGTCGAGTTCGTTGCTTCGTTGCCATTTTTCTTTTCGCTTTTTCACGCCGGGGGAAATCGCGACGATTCTAATTCTGCCGCCATTTTGCTCCTGGGTTCCTGTCGCTCGAGGAACTCTCGTTTACTTGGAACAACCGTTATAAACTCTTCGTTTTAACAGAGTTTTTATAGTTTATACTCTAGTTTATATTTATCACGGTAATTCTAATTTTTGAATGTTTTTAAATCCAACAATCAATGTTAGAATTTGTTAGAATAATATAACGCTGTGTAGATTTGGCTTTTGTCATGCGACGTTTACTTGGATTAAAAGTTCTAACAAATTCTAACAGAATTAATTCTAGTTTATATTTATCATGGTAATTCTAATTTTTGAATGTTTTTAAGTTCAACAATTAATGTTGGAATTTGTTAGAATAATATAATGCTGTATATATTTGATTCCTATTATTTACTTGGAAGAACAATTACAAGTTCTAACAAATTCTATAACAGAATCAAGTTCAGTTTATATTTATCATGGTGAATCTAATTTTTGGATGTTTTTAAATCCAACAATTAATGTTGAAATGTATTAGAATGTTTTTAAATCCAACATTTAATTTTGAAATGTATTAAAATGTTTTTAAATCCAACATTTAATTTTGAAATGTATTAAAATGTTTTTAAATCCAACAATTAACGTTGAAATGTATTAGAATGATATAACACTTTGTTTACCTTTCAGCATTTGCGTTATTGATTAAGGGAAAGTATTTTTCGACGATTTATAAATATAAATGGGTCCTCCTGACGAGGTCTTGTATAATGAAATTGTATCTTTTTTTTTTAGATATTATTCTGGTATCAATTTTATTACGAGAGTTTTGAAATAGCGTTTGAACGCAAAAACTAGATTCTGCTTCTTACCTAGTCGAACCAGCTGCCCTTGGATAGATCGATCGATCTCCAGGATAAGGAGTATCCCAACGATCAGACATTTTGCGATCGCCATCCCGACTTCTTCGACGACAGGTACCGGGGTTAGCTAGTAGCGCGGCATGAGTGACATTCTGAAACAGAAGCCAAGAACGGTTTGTTTATTCAATGGCTGTCGCGTGAAAAGGGACCTGGTAAATATTAACTCCCCCACCTTTCAACGATTGGGAACCCATCTCGCGTTAAACTCGAATAATTTCTGTTTACTTTGGAACAAAATTAATCGTAACGATATATAAATTGCATTTCGATCGACAGCGATTCTGCGTCGCCATATTGCTTTACACTAGCTTCGTTCATCTCGAGTTTATTAAAAATGGAGACTCTGCAGAGCAATCGTATGTTGTTAAACTGTACTAGTTGTAAAAAAACTCGGTAAATATTAACAAATTAATTAGAAAAAAATATAATTTCGATCTACAGCGATTTTTTTTTTTTATTATTAGTGCAATTTGAGTCTCAAGGAAAAGATTATTTTGCAGTGTTTCAATACATTATAATACTTCACATAATACAATAAAAAATTATAAACATTCGTATGCTTGCTAACCAAACAGTTTAGAGACGAACTGCTACGCCATATTGCTTTTTACTAGCTTCGTTTACCTCGAGTTTATTAAAAATGGAGACTCTGCAGAGCACCTGTATGTTGTTAAACTGTACTAATTGTAAAAAAACTCGGTAAATATTAACAAATTAATTAGAGAAAAATATAATTTCGATCGCGTCGATTTTGCTACGCCATATTGCTTTTTACTAGCTTTGTTTACCTTGAATTTATCGAAAATAGAGACTCTTGCAGTGCACCTGTATAGTAGAAACTGTACTCGTTGAAAAAGACTCAGTAAATATTGATAAATTAATTAAAAAAAAATATAATTTCGATCGACAGCCATGTTAGTTTTCACTAACTTCGTTGATCTCGAGTTTATCAGGACTAGGGACTTTGCAGCGCGTCTGCACAATGTTAAATGCAATCTGAACGCACGGTAAGAGGATCCTGACTAGGATGGGCTCAAAGAGGACACGCTGGTTATGGTGCACCGTGATCTATGGGGGTCGAGTGAGCCGCGAGGATGCACCGGACGTGTTCTGGTGCACGGATTCGGGTCTGGTGCCGGGACCAAGTGCCGGCCATGTGTTTTCTAGGGCCGTCTATTATTCTTTACGGGGACGGAGGATCGTCGCGAGCGCAGGATAGCGCTGAGCGTAAAATATTCTGCCGCCGTCCCGCGTGGCCCCGATCGCTCGTTCTCGATCCGATTTATGACGATTCACGGACAGGGCGAGAAAAGAAACGACGGGAACAAGCCCGCGATTCTGATGTTACTTTATGGTAACCCTTGTAAACCGGTCCCCCGGTGGTTACTTTTAAACGCCTCTATTTATAAAGATCCTACGCTCCTCGCTCGAGGGTTTCGTCGATCGTCCCCGATATACATATTTCGCGACATTTAAATAGAACGCGACGATATTCTATTTTTCGTATCCCCTAAGATACTTCTCTCCTTCGAATTAAGATCGGTTTCGAAGCTTATTACGCTATCTAAATAAATTTGTTTAAGTTTTTTTAATGGAACGATCTATCCTGCGTCTAGGAACACGAGTTGCAATTCACCAGTGGTTGTTAGTGCAACGTATCGATGTTGTCAACAGAGTAAACCAGTCTAGTTTACTTTTAGTTCGAAGGCTGATTGAAAATTATGGCGGGAGTAATATTCGCCCGGTGGCGACGAAAATTGCGCCTGGCGTAATAATATCATCCTTGAAACGGCTCCATAAAGATCGCATTAACGACGCCGGAAACGCATAAAGCCAACATTTACTCGGCGTCGAGCACCGAAAAGAGATCTACTCGTGGCCACGGTGGATCCGTTACACCGTACGCCCGAAGCGTTTTCAATGGGCGTGTAAATTTCTGTCGCGCAAATTGTGGACGTTGAACCGCCTAAAAATGGTACAAGAGCGCGGAGAACTCTCATAGCAGAACCGTGAAACGTATATCAAAACCAGTATGTTCTATTGTTTCACCAACGTACCTTTCAAGCCTCGTAATTGTGATATATGAAATAGCGACGATAAATGATACTTTTATTAAATAATAAATAATTTCGTATCGTGGGTTAATTTCACCAGCTATATTTAGACGCCATTGAACATTCACGGTTCAGGAATTTGTTCTTTCGTTTCGATTACATATATACAGGGTGTTCAATCACACCTGGGAACAATTTTAATGGGAGATTCTAGAGACCAAAAAGTTAATAAAAAATTAAATTCAAAAATTTCTAATCATTCTGGAAAAATTATTTTTAGTTGCAGGAGTCAATTACAATCATTTCTGGTGAATAGACATACCCTCGAAATCTTACGCATTTTCGAGAAAAAAATTCGAGTAGGTGGACAAAGTCGACAAAATTAAAAAATTTTAAATTGGTCTAAAAAAATTATTTTTAGTTGTAGGGGTCAATTACAATTATTTCTGATGAATAGACATACCCTCGAAATCTTACGCATTTTCGAGAAAAAAATTCGAGTAGGTGGACAAAGTCGACAAAATTAAAAAATTTTAAATTGGTCTAAAAAAATTATTTTCAGTTGTAGGGGTCGGTTACAATCATTTTTCGTGAATAGACATACCCTCGAAATACTGCGCATTTTGGAGAAAAAAATTCAGAAAAGTGGGCAAATTTTCGACAAAATTAGAAAAATTCAAATCGTTCTAAAAAAATTATTTTCCGTTATAGGGCTCGGTTACAAACATTTTTGGTCAATATACATACCCCCGAAATCTTACACACTTTCGAGAAAAAAATTCGAGTAGATGCTAACATTTTTTGACAAAATTAAAAAATTTCAAATCGTTCTAAAAAAATTATTTTCAGTTGTAGGGGTCGATTACAAACATTTTTGGTGATTACACATTCCCCCGAATTCCTCCGTATTTTTTAGAAAAAAATTCTTCACGGAAAATATACCGTGTGACCGAAAATGTTTCTATAACTTTTTAACGAAGCCTCAATCAGCGAATTAGTATCCTTGATTTTCGACTGATTTTCGCCTTTAGAATCTCCCATTAAAATTTCTCCCAGGGTTGGTCGACCACCCTGTATATTTGTTTTTTATCGAACGATCGATATCTATGAATAGATCGATGCGAGACGGCAAACTCTCCGGTTTATATATAGGAATAATAAATGGCTTGTTATGACTGCAACCAACGTTTCCGATTTTAATACGGCAAGCCTCGTTTCTCATAATTTTCACTCCAGAATAAATATTTCGATAGCGAGTCGACCTTTCGTTCTCGGGCCCGATCGTTAGCAACACGAACGGTAACGCGAAAAGAGACAAAGTAAATAATAAACGACACGGATAAAATGCCCCGTAACGTTATAACAATTTATGGAACAGGCCGCGTGAGTCATTGTCGCTCGAGGCGTTCAAAAATCGAGCGAAACTTCTCTCGGAATCTCGATCTCGCCAACGAATTCAACAGGCGATTTATTTCGGGGGAAATTTTTCCTTTGAACGGTGGAATATTTACGCGGGTAAATATATCGACGAGATACGAAACGAAATTCCGTTCTTATCGAGGTTGAGCTCGATATTAGGGGACATCTACCCTTTTGTACTCCCTGTTTCTACTTATCGTAATTTTTTATTTACGCGATTTTCATTATTTAATGAAATATTGTTCGATCGAAAGGGAAAATTAATCGGTATCCTCAGAAAACTGCGATATTGAAAATAATTTTTTAATTACATTTTCAAACAGTATATCGACTTAAAAAAATACACATTCTACGAAGAAAAGGTCGACGAACATTCTACTATTTTTTATTATAACAAAATTGTTGGAAATGTTGCTCAATTAAAAAGAAAAAATCGAAGTATATTTGGAAGATTGCAAAATTGAAAATAATTTTTTAATTACACTTTCCAACAGCGTATCGACTTAAAAAAATACACATTCTACCAAGAAAGGGTCGACGAACATTCTAATATTTTTTATTATAACAGAATTGTTGGAAATGTTGCTCAATTAAAAAGAAAAAATCGAAGTATATTTGGAAGATTGCAAAATTGAAAATAATTTTTTAATTACATTTTCCAACAGTATATCGACTTAAAAAAATACACATTCTACCAAGAAAGGGTCGACGAACATTCTAATATTTTTTATTATAACAGAATTGTTGGAAATGTTGCTCAATTAAAAAGAACAAATCGAAGTATATTCGGAAGATTGCAATATTGAAAATAATTTTTTAATTACATTTTCAAACAGTGTATCGACTTAAAAAAATATACATTCTACCAAGAAAAGGTCGACGAACATTCTAATATTTTTTATTATAACAGAATTGTTGGAAATGTTGCTCAATTAAAAAGAAAAAATCGAAGTATATTTGGAAGATTGCAAAATTGAAAATAATTTTTTAATTACATTTTCCAACAGTATATCGACTTAAAAAAATACACATTCTACCAAGAAAGGGTCGACGAACATTCTAATATTTTTTATCCCAATAAAATAACTCGAAATGTTGTTTAATTAAAAAAAAGAAAAATCCTCGACACTTCCTAACGAAGATGTCCGCGTAAAAATATATATTAAGATAAGATTGCGTAATTAATTTGTCGCGTTTAAAGAGCCTAATAGTGGCCTAAAATTAGCAGTGGAAAAGTCACGAGATAAATTTACTCGGGGCCAGTTAGTTAAAGATACCCCGGGGCAATGATTCTCCGATCGAACAGGTGAAAGAAGCGAGGCGTAGATCGTCGCGCGTTAGATCAACGTTACGAATCGTGAATAGGTCTTTAATCTTATCAGATAGGAATGGATGGAGTAAGGCGTTGTACGACAGGATCAAATACATTATCTTATTTACGTACAGGTATTCGACACCCGAAAGTTTAACGCTCGATAAAGCAACCAGAAATATTCTATATCCGTGACTCTTATTGTCGCGGACCAAACAGACTCGAACAGAATTTTAATTCACCGTTCTAACGTTTTGAATCTTAATAACGATAATAGTACGGTCGCATTACGAATATAAATTGCGAT